GTTGGGTAAGCTATTCAAGATGATCTTCTTTAGAATTCTGCCTATGTCATTCTTTAAAGTACTAAGCCTAGTTTTCAGCATTTTTTTGTTAAAAATCTAAATAGCTAAACAGTCAAGTGAAGCAATTTTAGAAAAAATAAAGTACTGACAGAAAATTTCCTAAACTAAGTGTACTATTTCTTTTTATTAATATTTTTATCATCTGCATCTTATCTAGTATATAGAAAATATGTTTGATTATTTAAAATGGTTTCATAATTAATATATAACTATAGTTTCCACATTTTTAATTAATCCTAATTACTTAATAATTTATTTTACAAAGTACCATTTTAATCTAATGCTAAAACAATTTCCCCACAAATTAGCTTATTTCCATAATTAATGATTTTCTGACATATTGTAAAATACTAATATGAAAGTAAAAAAACAAACAAAAAATAAACCTTTGACCTTCAAGAGATCCAAACAATGTCCATCAAAAATATACACTTTAAAAGTATCATCTTTGTAGATAAAAAGAAAAACAAATCTAGACAATCAGAAAAATAATCAAAAGAATAAAACACAATAGTTTTCTCTGAGCAAAATAAAACACAGAAAGTGAAACAAAAACATGTTTACTTTATATAATGACTTGTTCTTCTTTGGGATACCCAGTAGTGGAGTAGCTCTGATCAAATAGTATGTCTACTTTTAGTTCTTTAGAGTAACCATAGAGGTTACACTAAAATAGGTAATTTATTAAACATCTAGTATTTCACAGCTCTGAATAATTAGGTTATTTCTTTAAATAGGTTATTTCTTTACTGTCTATATTAAACATTATGTTATGTGCTACACATAAAATTAAACAAAAGACACGATTTCCAACTTGGCACTAATGAAGAAGTATAGGCAATACATAAATCCATGCACACATAATCTGTTAGGATAAATTACAATGTAAAATATTCAAGGTGCTCTCTGAGCATGTAAGTGGGCTTCTGGTCCATGCATGAGAGGTCAGATAAAGTCTGAAAGGTAAGTATCATGCATAGTGATCATATGGGGATGTCAGTGATGGAGAAAAGGAAAGAAAATGCCCCGGATAGAGGAAAATGCATAGAAAAGAAGGAAAGTCCCATGTAAATTCTAAGATTTTACTTCACTTGCAAGCTAACAAGCTAGCATACTGAGATTTCATGAGTTCTTTAAAAAAAAAAAAACACGAATTTACTGTTTCAGAGAAAAAAAGGACATTATTATCACACAGTAAGAAGCATGTTCACATTCAAGTTCTTTCACCTTACCTCCTACAGTCCAAAGAGGAGGGGAATGAGTCCCATGGATGTTGCACAGGTAGTGAGTTTGCATGACAGCTAAGGAACACCAGGCTTAAAAAACCTGTCTTTTCTAAAGGGCTATTAATACTCTGCCTAACCTTTGCTTTAGAGAGAGACATTATCCTTTCTATGATGAACAGCAAATAGAACTGCCCTCTACTCTGGATGTAGACACTGTTATCTTCCAAAGCTATTCACTATGAAAACAGTCTTAGAAAGTTAGTCTAATATTAAGATAGCAAATGATTCTGTTCACAAGATATGCAGAAACAGGGAAGCCAAGCTTTGATACAATTTATATAATATCAGAATATTTTTCCTAAGCAAGATTGAAATAATTCATCCACAAATATATCTGAATGTATCCCTTTGGGCTAGGGCCTGAAGAATTGTACTTTCTTGAGTGTCCCAAATTCTTCCACTGATAGGCTCTGTTGAGGTTTGCGATTCCTCCTGAGATACCTTTTTATAATTTACATTTTTTTCTCAGGAAATTGTGTCTTTCAATAAGATATTAAATTCACTTGCATAAGATTTTGTAAAGTGCTTTTATAGTACTTTTAATTTCCTCTTTCGGGGAGTATTATTCCCCTTTCATTTCTAATTTTGAGTGTTTATTCCTACTTTTTTTCTTAGTTAGGTTTTGATTATTTTATTTTATTTTTATAAAGAACTTTCACAGTTTTAGAACAATCCTAATCTCCCTTATTATTTATTTTTCAAGTAATATTTTCTGATTTTATTTTTATTTCAACATGTTGCTTTTTTTAATTGTGAGATTTAGATAAATAATTTATTTAATCATTGATAATTCTGTTTCTTATATCTGTAAATGCTTATTACACTGTGGTTTTTTTTTTTTTATTTGAGCTATATGTAATCCATAATTTTCTAATTGAAAATACTGTACGTCTTTTCTTAACTTTCTATTTTCATTCAAATATGGATCTATCTTCTATTTTCCACATTTCAGCCAAGTTATTTTTTTAAATGTACAGCTGATCAATGATAGATCCTCAATGAGTATAAGCATTTTATGAGGAAAGGAACCATAAGTGTTTCACATAGTATCAAGGAAATTGAGTTTATATCAAAAATTTCCCACAAAGAAAATTAACAATTTGGTGGTTTTACCAGTAAATTCTTTTATACATGTTTAAAAAAATTATAGAAATTCTTACAGAGATTAGAAAATGTGGGAACACTCTGTCTCACATTATATGATCTCTCTTTTTTTTTTTTTTTTTTTTTTTTTTTTTGAGACAGTCTCACTCTGTTGTTACCCAGGCTAGAGTGAGTGCTGTGGAGTCAGCTTAGCTTACAGCAACCTCGAATTCCCAGGCTCAATGGATCCTATTGCCTCAGCCGCCTGAGTAGCTGGGACTACATGCATGTGCCACCATGCAGGGCTAATTTTTTTTCTATGTATTTTAGGATTTTTTTTTTTTTTTTTGAGACAGAGTCTCACTCTGTTGCCTGGGCTAGAGTACTGTGGCGTCAGCCTAGCTCACAGCAACCTCAAACTCCTGGGTTCAAGCAATACTTCTGCCTCAGCCTCCCTAGTAGCTGGGACTACAGGCATGCGCCACTATGCTCAGCTAATTTTTTCTATATATTTTCAGTTGGCCAATTAATTTCTTTGTATTTTTAGTAGAGACAGGGTCTCGCTCTTGCTCAGGATGGTTTCGAACTCCCGACCTCGAGCTATCCGCCCGCCTCAGCCTCCAGAGTGCTAGGATTACAGGAGTGAGCCACCACGCCCAGCCCACATTATAAGATCTCTTGACATGAAAGCTAACAGACCAATTTCACTCTCAAATTTTGATGCAAAAATCTTAAAACAGAATATTAACAAAGTCAATCACCAATATGTTTAATTATAACACACCATTGTGTAGATGCATGCATTTCAGGAATTTATATTGATTAATCAATTAAAACTTACCATATTAACAAAAGAAAGGAGATAACCACATACATGATCATTTCAAGAGATGAACAAAGTTTAATGGACAGAAATACAAACCTATTTAATATAACTTTTCTGAGCCAGTTAGAAATACAAAGGAAATTTTTATTCTGATAATCTATGGCAAACATTATGTTAATATTTAATTTTAAAATGATGAGAGGACAAGGATGCTTGTCCTTAACCCTCAAAATATCACAATACATAAGTCATCACCTTCTTGGCAAAAGCATAACTCCATCACAATAATAGTTTGTAGGTAACAAGAAGAAAATTAATGTTAAGAGGAGCTATGCTTGGAGCTAGTCCATACGGAAAAGGTAGTTGCTTATAGTATAGACAAAGGATTAAAAGTTAAGTAGTTTAAATAGAAAACCAACTCACTTATGTCAAAGTACTACTACATATAAACTCTAATATGATTATAGGTCATATCAATAAGTATGATATGTATCAACAGGCTCTCCATTTTACAAAAGAGGAAATTGAACTTTGTTGTCAAATACTGAGCTAACTTAAGCTTTAAGTAGCAAGGTTGGCCAAGACCACCAGTCTCTTTAAATTGTCAGCTCTGTCAGTTAATCTAAAAAACACAAAACAGTGGATCCAAGCATGGCTGTATTCTGGAATTTCAAACCAAACTAGAATTGATAGGCAAAATATGACATATGAATTAATTTGTCAAGAATGGCATAAGAAGAACTAGGTTATGTGGCAAAGATGAGTCAAAGAATATAGACAGATTTTGGATCAAAAGTTTAAGTTGAACATGAAAGAGCCAAAATTTCTTTGAATATTTATAAAGCAAATCATCAAAGGTAGATTTTTATACTTTGATATTTTGCCAAAGGCAAAAGAATAATGACATACAGAATATTTTAATATTTGAATTATTAATCTTTGTATTTATTTTTTTAAATGGATGTATAGTGGAAACATGTCTTACACATTAGCATACAATAATGTACAAATGCACTTATAAATCACCAAATCTAGAATAGTGGTCTCTGATCTCAATTCCCATCTGCTCCATTTATTAATTATATTACCTGTGACTTGGTTATACATTTGCAAAATGGGGATGAGAAGTTTTATCTCCTAGAATAATTGTTGGGAACAAAATATTTAATAAATGAAAACAATAAAACCTGTGCTTTGAACAAAAACATTCCCAGGTGTCAGCTGGATCTTCCCAATTTAGAAAGAAATTGCAGTGAATGCTTTCCCCCACCCTGTGCTGGAAAGCTTAAAACTGTTTTATAATCTAAATCAAATAGAATATATATTACTTAATCAATTTGGATTCAAAGTAATGCAGGCAATACAAGGTAATACAAAAATTTCACATTCAAAAACAATCTATATTTTCTTGGTAATATTAATTTTTTTAAATAGTTCAATTCTGTGTGTTACAATACACAGTGTGTGCCTTCTATTCGAATTAACCCATTTTGCATGTGTTTGTGTGCCTGTGCTCTAATAAAAATGTTTACACAAATGTGAAAATATTCTTAACCCATATGCTATTTTTTGAATTTGCCTTTATTAGTCAAAGCTTAGATTTTGTTCCACTATAATAAAAGAATGGTTAGATTCAAATAAAAGTTCTCATCATATATCATTCTAATAGTAATGAAGACAAATACCTAAGCATTATGTATAAGGATATATATAAAGACAAATAAACATATCGATACATTCTTGAAATGTCTAATTATGACAGTAATATATGGTAAATAGCAGTAATAACCTTAAGAGAAAATGAAAGCCCTAAAGCAAAATAAAGTTGTAATCCTACTACCCAAAGATTACCACTAGTGAAATTTTATTTATACTGCCTTTTTTAAAACAGATGTAACATTTATCTATCTTTCGATTGTTACTGTCCAACTGTATTGCCCACTGCATAGAGAAGAGCCAATGTCCCTAGACAGTCGGGATTGCAATGGAGAAAGTCTCTTTATTCCCATAGCTCTAAGCGGAGTGACAGGAGACATTTCTCAAATCCCCCTCCATGAGAATTTAGGAGACAGGGTTTTTGAACATAGGTTAGCAGGCAAGAGATTAGGTAACTAGGTTCATTAATTAGGAGACTGGGTTTTTAAGCATGGTTTAGCAGACAAGGCATTAAGTAATTAGGTTCATTTATTGGGGTAGAATTATAGGGGTGTGGAAATCATCTTCCTGTGTTGTTCCACTCCCTGGGTTCACAATTCCAGTTGAGTCAGTTTCTTGGGAGGGGCAGCTGGTCTGGGTGGGCCAATCCATCCACTGGAATGCAGGGCCTACAAGATATCTTGAAAACTACCTTTAGGTTCCATAAAGGTGATGTTATCCACAGGGAAAGTTAAGAACCTTTATAGACACCAGCTGCATGGCACCAAAGTGGCAATTACAGGGGGACAGTTACAAATTATTATCATTATTTTTAGCTAGGCCCTCACCACAGTTCTTACCTTGCACCCCGTTATTGAAGGGTGGTTTCACTATCAATCTATCTTTCTATAAATACTTACTCAAACCACATATGAAGAGTGCTGAAACTGAGAAAATGTGTTTGTGTGTGTTCATACACCTTTTTTAAACCTTAACCAAAGTGAGGGGGACCCCTGGGAAGCATTCTTACAAGGTAAAGGGAGTCTTCCCCACACCCCCTTCATCTTTCCTGATCCTTGGAATGAGGCTCTGATCATTGGTTCTGTCAGCCATCTTGGACAGTAAGAATGAAGGCCACATCTGGTATTCTGGTCCTGGACTATTTGAACTTATTTTCATGCTTCATGCTTTTTGTTCCTGTTCAAAATGAAAGAGAATTATTCTTGGTTTGGGAAACCCTCTAAGGCTTTCATGTCAGTACTATTATCAATGTATATTAAAATTATAATGTACATGCGTAATATAAAAATATGTTATACATTTTACATAATTTGCATAGATTATATAGAACTTCTCTCTCAGTCTCTCTTTTTTCTATATTGGTACATCCTCTAATCTTAAACATATAGTTGTGATATGTTACTGGAAAAAGAAAAGTCTAACCCATAATGGAATGTTTATCTCCTTACCATGATTTTTTTATATGATCCCAAATATGAATGTGTGAGCTCCTTATTTTTAAGCTACATTTCTTTCAAAATATTGCTATCTCATCCTTTAAGGTCTTTGCGTAATAACTTTGATATCATTCAACTTCCATTCTTAATCATTTTGACTTTAGCCATGTAAATGGTATAGCTTTCATCAATTCAAAAATTATGAAAATATAATTATAACTGCAGAGTAATCACTATTTTAATGTTATTTTTGCAGCTGTGATAATATGCATTTATGGATTGTTGAGTTTGTTTGCTGTTTTCTCCGATGGAGAAAGGCACACAGGCTTGATAAATAAGAGCAGAAAACATCTCAGTTCTGTAAACATACACACATACACAAGATTTTTTGAAAGCTTTTGTCTTCTAGAGGACTTGCACCAAAAAAGAATGTACTTTCTCAGTCAAATATCATGAAATCCATAACCTATTATACAGCCTCACTTGATTTCCTTTCCTCAAAATACAATTAAAAACTCTCCTCATGTAGAAACGCTAAAGGATTCTCTATTTAATTGTTAAAGAGACCTCTAAGAAATTTAATATCTCTGAAAATAGAAAAATCCATTAAAGAACTTAACTGCACTTACATTTTAATAATTATAATTCAAAGAATCAGATTCGATTAAGTGATTCTAGACATATAATTGATCATTGAATTCAGCGTGGATTTTGAGATTTATTAAATTGTTTGAATTGTTAACAGTTATTAACGTTGTAAATAACAGAAACCCAAGTGATTATTTCATCATTTTAATCCCCATAATAAACAAAATCATTCCTACTCAAATGCTAGGATACTTTAATGGAGATAAATAAATCTCTGAAAAATCTTAGTGAGTACATATGTTTGCTAATTAGAATTATCATTATGTATTTTTAATTGTGATTTATTTTTCACTATCTCAATGATGTCATCACCCTATAATTTGAATTACAGATAAAACCTTTTTATTATCATAAAGGACTCCATGAACTCTTACTTCCCATTCAATTATTGCAAACAATCTCAAAACTATGTAGAAGCTAATTATAAGACAGCGTGAATAGCCAGAATGAATATAAATAATATCAATGGTTCATGTTCTCACAGTAAGATTCTGTTAAACACTTACTATAAATAACCACATAATTTTTTTAAGTGTTAACTGGAAAAATGTGCTAATACAATGATTTCCTGTGTTATAAAATTATAAACAAACCATTCTACCTTTTTATACCATTCTGCAACGACTGAATTAAAGCTCATTTTCTCTAACTATATAGGTATTCTGTTAGGGATTGGAGTATATAAAAATTGTATTTTAGGATGAAGGAATCCTAACAACTAAAATGATTTTATGATAATTACAAAATTAAAATTCTAAATTATATTTGAAACAGGTAATATGATACAGGGGGAAAAGGATCACTCTGAGCCAAAAAAGGAAAATTCATCTATGGGCCAGCTGTGTGTTATGGGCAAACCATTTTAATACTTTCATTTTCAATTTTTATTTTTGGTAGAATAAGAGCTGTGCAATGTAAATAGTGAAAACTGTGCAAGTGGAAGTGATTTTACATATCAATTAACAAAATAAATAAAACGAATGAAGGAAAATAGCAAGATAAAGTAAAATACACAATAAATTCAAAGGTCAAGTTTTTCCAGAGAGACTTTCTTTTTTTGCTATGTAATTTGGTGTCTTAAAGCTTCAAAGAAATTCTAACATTGAACTTAGGGAAATGAATATGTGAAAAAAGGATTTCTTTTGCTAACAATATTTGAAGTTTAAATCATACTCCTTGTCAAGGGATAGGTAAAAGATGTTTAGATATTCAATAGTTGTAGGGATATTAATATTCCATCACCTTTCTGTTGTTACCATATACTTACCATGATGTCTAGGATGCTGGGTGCTTTTTGCAGTCTCCCTCCTATAATATTAGCTCTCATGCTTCCCTGAGACACCTGTTGCACAGAGGATTCTTTTTCCGCTCTTGCCCTTTTCCCTCTTTTTGGGTATGCTTTAAGGCTGATTGCTCAGTGCTAGTCTCATGTGGGGCACTTGGGGTATCTTGTTCTTCTGGTTCAACCTTATATTAGTTTCCTAGTGGTACTTTAACAAGATATCACAAATGTAGTGTCTGAAAACAACAATCATTATTATACTGGTCTGGATTTTCCAAGTCCAGTTTGACTGAAGCTAAACTCATAGTGTCAGTTGGGTTTAGATCCTTTTGAAGCCTCTATGGGGGAATCGATTTCATTGCCTTTTCAGCTTCTTGAGGCCACCTCAATTCTTTGGCCATAGCTAATTCCCCCATTTTCAAAGCCACTAGTATAGTATTGTTATATTTCCTTCACTGGCTTGGCTGCCGCTGTCACAGTGTCTTCTCTTATGTGGACTGTTGTGATTACGTTGGCCTCTATAAGGTAGTAATACGAGTTAAGTGAGGTCATTAGGGTGAGACCTAATCCCAGAAGTCTGTTTTTCTCTTTTTTTTTTTTTGAGACAGAGTCTCACTTTGTTGCCCAGGCTAGCGTGAGTGCCGTGGCGTTAGCCTGGCTCACAGCAACCTCAATCTCCGGGGCTCAGTGATCCTACTGCCTCAGCCTCCCGAGTAGCTGGGACTACAGGCATGCCCGGCTAATTTTTTGTATATATATTTTTAGTTAGTCAATTAATTTATTTCTATTTTTGGTAGAGACGGGGTCTCACTCAGGCTGGTTTCGAACTCCTGACCTTGAGCAATCCGCCCGCCTCGGCCTCCCAAAGTGCTAGGATTACAGGAAGAAACACCAAAAAAATCCTATCTTTCCACACAAGCACAGAAAATAGGCCACATGAAAACGCAGCCAGAATGTAGTCATCTACAAGCCAGGAAGGGAGCTTTCATCAGAAACCAACTCTGACAGCACCTTCATCTTTGCTCTAGCCTCCAGAAATGTGAGAAAATAAATTTCTGTTGTTTAATCCACCTAGCCTATGGGTACTTTGCTATGGTCTCCTGAGCAGACTAATAAATACTGAATGTGAAAATCTAAATAATTTTTTTATAGATAATAATATCTGTTTATGAATACTGACATCTCTCAGCATATATACATTTTTTCCTTTCTTTGAAAAAGCAGAGAATTTTAATATTTTTCAAGCAGGTGAACATTTCCAATAACAATTTCTTTTTAGATCAAGTCCTATATTTATCAATTTACATATGTGTGTGTACCTAAGTTCTCTAGATATTTTTAGCTATTAGAGATGTCCATGCATACTAGAAAACTTATACTTTAAAACCACATTGAAACAATTCAGAAATAAAAAGATAAAAAACGTGTCATGTTATTCATATCATCATGTCGAATGGATTACCTAAAATATACTAGAGTGAATCTTATAAAAATGACTTTTTTGTAAATCAAAAAAATAAAATATTATTCAACCTAACAGAAGGAAAAATAGTGTTATTTTTCAGTCATAATATTCATATTATTTTACAAGTATACTTGAACAGTTGAAAGTATTTGAAGCAGACAGTATTATAAATGTAAAAATCTCTCATAATTTTCCCACACCAACTCACTGTTTTCTGAAATATTAATCTAATGTAGTTTATTTTATTTCTTTTTAAACATATTTTAAAAATTCTTTTTTTTTTCTTATACATTATTTGGAGACTGTGTCTGCAATCACAGATCTTGGGTAATGTTAGTAACAGGGAAATATAGAACAGAATCACAAGCATGGGATTTCAATAGAGACACGAATGAATGACAGAGTGCCATAATAATTAGCAGACCTTTGTTTCATTCTTTTAGAATACATAATTTCTTATTTCATTGATCTTTATTATTTTGTTATAATTCCTGCAATTATTTTTTGTGACCTTGATTCACTTCTTTCTGGCTTTTATTTATAGTAATCAATAACTGTTATATCAAAATCCATTGTATTACCTGAACAGCTCCAACTTACAGTACTAGCTGTTGAGTGTAAGCATGATAGAATATAATTTTTTCCCTTTCTTTGTTTCTCTCTTTATCACCATCCTCTTTCTTTCCTTGGAGCTCAAACTATAAAGCCCATTTGTTATTGTCTCTCCTAGGCAACAACTTTCAGTTTCAAACTGATGTTATCTGTACAACTGCCTTTTTCACTATAATATACTGAATTAGTTTCAAATTGGCTGAAAACCTCTTGTTGTCTGTTCCTATAATTGAACTTCCCAGAACCTATCACAAATTTTTTATTCTTCTTAGCGAGAACTAACCCTTGGGATTTGTTCTCCTTGAGCCTGTAAATTTATTTTGTTAAGGCTTTTCCCTGTAGTGGTTTAAACCTTGGGTGACCCAGATTTACGGAAGAGTTAACATTGTTGTCGCTTTTCCTTATGGTGTTTGTTTCTTACTGTACTGAGAATACAATAATAGAAAACATTGTTATTTTTATTTATATGAGTATTTACAGACTCCAAATAAGCAAATCAAAGATAAATAATTTTTAAAGTTGTGCCAATTCAGAATATTAACCCTAAATATTAATGAAAATATTTTCATTTTCTTGTTATATTTTTTAGCATACTTATCTTCCTTACTAAACAGTTACTTAAAATCTTTTGAATTCTATCATTAATAAGTTTTGCTGTCCATTATTAAGCAACAGCTTAGATTTTACCTCACTGCATAGATTTCTTGGTTCTTGTTCATTAAATAAAGATTTC